CACATATTCTCGGAGGGGAGATGATTGCTGATCACACGTGCACTTTGATCGACCAATGCACGAGCGCCGCTAATATCAGTTCACGCGAGATCCAACGTATATCAAGCTCGGTGAGCAGGCTCGCGAATCATGAGGCAAGTGAGGTTATGTCCTTCTGCCCATGAGGGTTGGTAATGTTTGGTTGCCAGGCCTTATAGACAGAGTTGAAATCTCCCACTGCAATAGATTCAGAGGGTGGGTCCCAGCTAACAAGAGGTCAGATTGCTGCTTTGTCATTTGGTGCTTTGTATACATTGAAGAACGTGACTCCGTTTTCCACTACCCAGCAGTAGTCTCCGGTTAGTTTTTCAAAGGGGAAGATTTGTTTGGCTGTGACTACCTCTCCGCTCTTTATTGTGTAGGTCGCTGTCCTTGGTCTTATATCTACTCCTCCATATGGGGTATGACAAGAGTATCCTGGTTGTGAATTGGTAGTCTTTGTGCGTTTATCCCACAAAGGCTCCTGTATTAGTAAGACATCAACGCCTAGCTCAAAAGCTCGAGAAATCGTGAGGTCATGCGTTAAGCCTCCCATACCCAAATTTATTGACATAAACTTTAGGGTAGGAGGGGTGCTTGTTAAGGTTATGAGTTAAATGGGAACATAGTTACTTGGAATGTGTCACGATGTTTGTTCAGATGGTTTGATACTTGGTAATGTGACTGCTGGCAGGTGTCCGATACTTTTCCGATACTGTTCATGAGACAGAACATAGACTACTTATATACTCTAATATGACCCATGTCATTGTCTACGCTCTCTCTCCTGACTTACTGCCAACAGCGTGCCTAGGCAAATATCTGCAGCTCATGAGACCATCTCTCATGGGAGGCATCCGCTGTTCCGGTGGCTGGCGCGCGCGGTCCGAGTACGCGTCGCTGCAATGCCTCAATCATTTTCGTGTAATATCCCAGCTGAGCGATCCTGAACCTAGCTGTTCAGGAACGACAGCAATCCAGTCCATGGTTCGCACCTGTGGTTTGTATACACACCACAGCGTCGCTCCAATCGTTCCCATACAATGTCTCAGCTCCACAGTCCATTACTCAGGAGCGGAAGCAGTTGTATAGTTCCGATAGTGCGCTAAGTCTACATGTACCTCTGAGCGCTATCCCGTAATTGTCCGGCAATATCTAACCGCTTATGGCTAGCGCACGTGGTCAGCAGACTCTCCACGACGCTACCCCAATCGTTGCCTTGCAATGACTCAACCCGGTGCTCCCAAGTCCGAGACTCAGGTGCGGTAGCGGTTGTATCCATGGTCAACGCACGACGTGCATATGCACCTGTCGGCGCAGAGCCGGTCATTGATGAGCAATATCACAACAGTGCTCCGATGGGTCCTTTTATGAAGATGGTGCAGGGTTTGTCCCAACCATGCTGCCTGTATCTATTGGATCTAAGTCTTTCATGAGGACCTCATATGCGTTAGAGGTCTAAACGATAGGTTATCCGGCTTGGATTTGCTCCACAGTAGCAGCAGTAACACGTCTGACAGCCGCTTTGGCTAGACTGTCTAATCATTTCGAGCTGCTCCTTTGTTACTGGATTAGCTCGAGTTGGGCGTACCAGACAGCTACGGCTGTCTGAGTGATTTGGGCCCCCACAATCTCGGTATTTTTTGTGGGCTTTACGTTTAATAGTGGAGTGAATCTTTGAAGAGCAGTTCCAGCAGGCTATTGCTCGAGACATTGTTTACATTGCTGTACAGTTGTTTATGGCTGATGCTTAACTGCAACGCCCAGGGCATGACCCTCAACATCTATTGGAACACATTAAATAAATTAATTTTAACATTGAAATAGTGGCCAGAATTTTAACGGTAGATTCTAGAAGTCCTTCATAGTCTTAGACTCAGAAGGGGCTGTAATAAAAATTCTTATCTCATCTTAACTGCGACGCCGGAGTCATCAAACAGATAGAATCTTGTACATGGTGCAGTCGCTATTTCAAAATATGCCAGCCATGTTCGACAAGGGACCCCAAGAGAGCTATTACCGTGCAGGCCTACTTTAAGAGGTGTTGCTTTAGTGACCCTTGTGATTTCGTTGGCGACCATCTCTACTATAACTTAGATTCTCCCGAGAAGGGTGGTATTAGCCACAGGGACATTGAAGATCGGAAAGGCCGCCAGATCCGACGCTCTTTCTAGTTTTGCACCTAGAGATGTGAGAGAATCAGCCGAGCTCATTAAGAGTCCGCGTGATTCTTCGTCTTTTGCCTAGAGCGCGAAGCCTGTGCGGACCCGGCGAGCGCTCTCGATACTGTTAGACAGGCAGTGGAGATGCTTAGATATCGCTTCCCGTACTCCAGCCGGAGATAAGATGCGCCACTCATGGTTTTTGCCTAATCTGAGGAATAGTCGCTCGTCTTATGGGGAAGACGCTGTGGCTATTTCTGGTTGGGTGGGGGTTGGTGTGCTTTAATGTGGCACAAGCAGGAGTTTTTGGTTGAGAGGAATTTTGCTCTCCTCTTTGTGTAATTGCGGCCCAAGTTGGTTTGATTGTGGGCTGCACAGGTGTCGGTTTAACAACTGGCAATGTATTGGCATATGTTGGTGCGGCCTAAGAGCTCTCTCAAGGGAGGTTGTGTGCCGGGCGTGGGGGCAAATCTAGAGCTGATGTGCCAGGTCCCGCTGACGTAAATTAGACAAAGGCAGTTTGGAGATAGAGCTTTATTGAGTCTATGTAAGCTATATTTTTTCATTGGCTGGGGGGGAGAGAGAACAACTTCGACGCCATTAATAGCAGCTGTGTCGATGGAAATTTTATTGGCTGTCTCAGCAGATCGACGTTCTTCAGTTTCGATTAATGCCCGGAGTTTTGGAGGGTATTCTCCGGCCTTGAATGTGATTTTGTAACTGGCGCAGGGTTGATGCAAGAGAGCCTGAAGTGTAGGAGCGCATATGGGCGCCTCTGTAATTGCTGATTCTATTTCCTTGTTGGAATTAGAGCCTGCTGTCCTTTTGGTACTGGGGACAGCAATTTTTCTAGTAGATCGATCTAATAGCTGTGTCACTTCAATAGCATCATCGCCTCTTTCAACTGATTTATGGTGCGTGGTCTCAGAGGGCTTTACGATGTCTTCTACTCTATCGTCTAATCACATAGAGTCTTTCAGATCTTTGGCAAGGGCCATTTCCCAGGACTTCTCCATCTCTTTCATTTCTGGTTCAACTTCGCCATCAATTTCCATCTTTTCATAATTCAGGGAATTGCATTGCGCATCTCTTGAATCTACCTTGGAGCGGATCAAGTGCTTAGCTTTCTTGATCATTTCCTCGCGGTCCAAAGCACATTTTGTCCGTTCGTTGTGCTTCCAGTAGGGGATCGCGGGCGGCATTGCGATAAATCAGTCGTGCGGCCCTAGAGAGATTGCCTTTGTTTGTGGTTAAGATATATTGGGGTACGGGGCGATTGGAATTGGGGCAGTTTGCAATTCCTCGAATTGTGCGGTTGCTGGTCTGTTTTAAATTTCATTTCTTTAGCCCGTGGAGATATCCAGTGGGCCCATGCAGGTATATCTATCTATTGTTGACAGGAATTAGGCAGTAGTGCTGGGGAATGGAATTAGAGTGTACTGAATTGTATATATATTGTTACATTTACCAAGGGCGTTTCGAACCTCTGTGGATTACATGAGACGCACAGGCCTCTCCTGGCTAGTCAGCAGGTATTGTCTGCCGAGCCTAACGGCTTGCGGTCGCAACATCCGTCCTGAGCGGAACCAACAGCTACAATAATAAATAAGTGGAGAGCTAGAAGCATATAAAACGACAAAAAAACAGGTAGACTTATGATGAACTATAGAGAGTTATCTATCCAAATCCACCAAAACTTTAGCAGGGCCTAGAGCAGCATTGCCAAACAAGTAAGAAGCGAGCATATTGGGCTCAATGCTTGCTTACTTATACAGAAGGAACGTGCCAGGAGTAGGAAAACCATGCTGCCAATGTGGATATCCGTCCCAGAATATAAAGTACATGGTGATGTCTTGTCCAAGATGGGCAAAGGGATGAGGTGAGTTGCTACGAAAATCGACAACTAGATCTTTCGAAGCTATGGTAAATAACGTCAAAGATATGAGTAGAATTGCACAGTGGATTCAAAAGGAAGGATGGCTAGAGCAGTTTCAGATGACCGGAGAAATCGAGGCGTTAACCAGGCGAAGAGAGGAAAATGGAAATACAAGACAAGGACGGAATCCACACTGGCTGCAACAGTGTGAGTGCACTTCCTAGAGGTAAGACTACAATGGCGTAGAGTCCAATTATACTGCTAAGGGGGTTTAACTGCAAGATTTCCTCCTATGTAAATATTAAAGTTCGTAGACACCTGCATGGGTCCATAGGGCGCCAAATCGGGCTAAATGAAATCAAAATCAAATAAATAATTCATTGTCCTAGTTTGGCGCCTTGAGGCCCATGCAGGTTTTATCGGAAGATATGTGCTCTATGTATGATGACTCAATTAGACGTTTAAAATACTCACACTCAGATTTCATTTCCAAATACCACTCGAAGTGAACCCTTACGGTGTACAACCCTTCGTGGATATCCATGACAGGGAAAATCGTGAAAATTATAAGGTTGTCCGAGTGTGCTTTCAATATCACTACTATCAAATTTTTCCGTGAGAATAGGTAGTTAGTGGGCTTCATTGGGATCGAACCAGCTTTCTCCTGTCTCAAGCAAGGTAGATATTCAAACTACCCAGTATCTACTTGGCAAACCGGCCCGAAAGGAATACCACTGCACCATCCAACTTGGCATGCCGGCCTTGCGCCCGACCTGTACAATAATGCATAGGACTGTAATGGACCGGGGTTTGGCTAGCAATTTACAACTGGTGCGTATCTATTATGATTGGTAGCGTGTTCTTAGCCATGAAGCATATTGATCCCTCCCACCCTTATGGTCAATTAGGAAACGCAACAACATTTTGATATTTACTCCTGCATCATGATATCGGGTGAGAAAAGCATTTATCACCCGAAAGATGCTATAATGGCTGGTCTTTCTGGTGCAGGAATGGCAGGTGCAGCCGGAGCCATGATAGCCGGTGTCCAAAATTCGCTGAGTAAAAGCAACGTGGGGGCTTGGGGAATAGTTTCAAGATTTGGAGGCACCATGGCATTATTCAGTAGGTTCCATAATCTAATACTGTTGGATACCTTTACTAAGAAATGACAGCTGCTGTGGGAGCTAGTTACGAGTTTGTGACAACTGCCTCCGCGAACCTACGTGAACAGGATGATAGTCTGAATCCAGTACTAGGTGGTTTTGTTTCAGGCTCTTTGATAGGATTAAAAGGTGAGGCAGAGATTGGGTTGGAAATATCGTACTGATTAGCTCTCACAGCTGGAACAACACCAGCGGTACTTGGTTACGGAGCAGTGGCAGCAGTTCTCATGGGTGCTTTCGACTATACTGGTGGTCGCCTAACTGGACCTCGTCGAGACCCAGAATTAGACGAATTTGAACGAAAGCAGATCATAAGGAAGCATCTTCCTCGCCCGATTGAAGCGACTATAGCAGAGATAGGAGAAGGACGTGGTATGTCTTACCACGAAATGTAGTAAAACATAGCTAACAGCTGAAAAGGAATATACGCCCCTGGTTATGAAGAACGAAGGAGAGCAAGGCTCAAGGAAAAGTATGGTATAGAAGTACCTGTAAAGTCTTAAGTTTGCACTTGTTTCTATAAATTGAATTGTGTTCACACGGATAGTACATGGTCTGTACGATATGCAAAAAAAATTTAACCTGTACCACTACATCATATTCCTTCCTACATTTTTTTGTCAGTCGTGCCTTTCATTAGCTAGCCATTGATTAAGTAGAAGATAGATATACTACACTTTCAATCCCATAGACATGTAAGGGCAAATTTAATCGTATCCATTTCTCGGCTAAATTAACTGCACTGATTGATTTCGATGAGTAGCTGAGTTCAATGACAAGATAATTGAATTAACCTTTAAAGCTGTTATGAAGATAGCAAATCTTTCTGTACGCAAGAAACCCAAACACTACTGATTATTGACGCTTTACGTTTTAATTTAGATCCAAGAAAAAGGCATAAAAGCTTGCTCGAGGGGTGCTGAACAAACTCGAGGTATCGGCTCAAATAAACTGAGCACTCTAGAGTGATAAATAAATCCATTGTTAGTTAAATCATTCGATAAGTGTCTAGAATATGGTCTAGTATGCCTTTTTTATTGTTTGCCTCAAGTCTTGTCAGACAGTTTATATAGTAAATCCCATCTATTGAAAGCCTCGGCAGCTAGCAACTGCAGATCCTAAAACTTGGAGAGCGGCCAAATTTTACCGCGGTAAAAAATCTGGACTGCAAAAACTGATTCTTCATGACTCACCATTCTTTCTACATCGTAAACTGACTAGCGCCTGAATTAGATTCGTATTACAAATTTGAAGTGAGCAAATGGGGCTCAATTCGTATCTATACAGAAGAAAAGTTGACGAAGTATTAAGGCCAGACTGTCCGTGTAGCTACCAATCACATAACCCCAGGCATATGATCATGTCCTGCCTTCAATGGTCAAACGGTAGAGGAGATATTTCGAGACAAGCCAAAGATCGGTCCTACGAAGCTATGAAAAGTAATACTGGCGACATCAAAAAAATTACATATTATCTATTAGATCACATGTACCACACTATCGCAATTACTGTTGAATCAAGCAGCAAGATGGTTGCGGTAAACCAGCCGTCGTCCTCAGCGTGCATTGACAAGGCGACTACTATTCCAGCCGCACGAGACTTACTGTCAGAGCAAAGCCTACACACAAAACCTCACAATAGGATTCAAGCAGTTTTCTGTCCGGTTGGGTCTAGAACGTGGCTGGCGCACACTTTCACCAGTAAAAATAAAGAAGCTTATCAAATTTAAATTTTATGTCGATTTTATATGTGTACGTCTGTTATCACAGACACTGGAAATAATTCATGAAATTGCTTAATAAGAAGCTAAGATTGATTTCGATATGATTTAGTAGAAAACTTATCTTAGCCATCAGAGGGCACAACGTCTTCAATTATCTATAGGTAAATCTATCATTTTCCATCCACGCTGGCCATGCAGGGCCAAGCATATAAAACTTGATTCGTATCGTAGTTTTAGGGTTGACGATTACCGTGCATTTTGCCACTTGAGTCGCACGCCAGCTTACTGTGCGACATGCTCAGGTATCAATCCAATAAACTACACCAAACCGAAACTACTCAAAACCCTGATTATGACCCCATGAATAGTTGTAACAGTAGCCTGAAACCTAATATAATTTGGATAGAAATCTTTGACTAGCACCTAGTCCGAACAGAAGCTGACTACTGAGAGAGCCGGAGTTGCGGCATCAGCCATCGTTGTTATGAACCAAATTCAATTCGACCTAGTACTATAGTTCGCATCAGATGGACCTCGAGAGTCAATACTGGGAGTTTCAGGTTCATACCAGCAAGAAAACATCTGCATCGAAGCAATGTCGGACTGGACTTCAGTCATAGCGCCGCATGTACCATTACAAATCAGGACACTAGAAAGTGGTATGTCAGTTACGAAGAATATGATGACAACGGAATTCCGGGCTATATGCGGGGTCACACTGGTACAGTTGCAATCGAAACAAGTTAAGATTGGATAATATTCTGCAAGTTGGATCATTCACTCTAAACAAAAACCAGCGAACCCCAGGATTAGAACTTTCGACAAGAGCGGACTGGTGGTTCTGTTCGTATGGCGACGCCCTACTGAATAGTGTTAAAGATGCTGGAGATTCCACAGCACACGGTCATGCACCAAAGGACAAAAGTGTGGACGATGCACTGGAGCGCACGAAAAGACAGAATGTCAGATCAAAGTACCTAAATCTGCAAATTACGCAGGACCTCATGAACTGACCAGCCTATACTACATGACTCAACCTAGACGCTAGAACGAGATACTTCACCTCCATATACTAGCGGAACTTAGGATAGTCCGAGAACGCGGACATCGAGACTTTAATGCTGCGCTAGCAGAGTTAGAAAAGAAGGGTAAGACACAGGAGGTCATAAGTACCCGGACGAACGATGCAAAATTAATGAGTTGTGCAACTAATACTCATAACCAAAGCGAACAAAAAATCTTCTTTCTATTTCACCAATCAAACGCCAGAAAGGGTGAATAGAACATTGATATCGCACTACAGCAGGCATAGGAGGCTGAAGCACACATAATCATGGCACAGGAACCATAGATAATGCAGAATATCGGAGAGCCTATCACCAAAATTCACCCGGAATTCAACAGTTACAAGCCAACGAGTATAGCTGAAACTTGTCTACGGGCAATCGGTTTCCTCAATGAAGGCTTAGTAGCCACGCAAATATTTCCCTCTATCCAGGATCAAATCAGCGACTACTGCTTTGTGCAAATTCGTGGTGTTACTTTTATCAATTTGTATCGTGCAGTAGTATTGAACGAGACCCTGGAGCCCCTGCTTGGATGGAGCCCTTCAGGCCCTGCAGTTGTAGGAGGAGACTTCAACGCCATGTCAAGACATTGGTAACCTCGTGCTACTTGCCAGTATGCTAAATGTGATCAAATAATAGATTGGGAAACAGCTCAGTATATGCACCTACTTACCTCCATTGGCACGCTCACGTATAGGGACGGAAATGTGTTGGACCTGGTATGAAGCAATGCCATAGCGATGTTATCGATATCACGAGAGCTCAACTGCACTTTAGACCATATGATCATCTTAGTGTTAGTCTAAGCGAGACGAAGGTCAGAACGTTCCGGATTGAGCCAGGAACTGCATTTACGCTATCAGGATCTAGCCAAATTTGCCCAGTACGTCAAAGCCTGGCTCGTAGCAGGTCATCTAGATACTATAAACGAAATTGAAAGCCAGATATCAAGTCTGTTGAGGGCTTTGGATGACGTGCGCAAGGTAGTAGGACGCAAACCTGCAAGAGCGCGCAGAAGCACAGCCCAGTCGTGGAATGAGGATTGCAAACTGAAGCACAATGAGTATCAAATTGCTAGAAGCTACCTGGAGGGTGCGGCAATAGGTCGGAAGAGGTTTGAGCATGCAGTAAGAGCGACAAAAAATACCACTGGAAAAATCAGGTCGAAGATGCCACGACGGATGCACAAGTCTTCAAAATGATGCAGTGAGCCAAACTCATGATAAGCCGAGACCCTCCCCCACTGAAAATTGCCGAGGATCCGTGGATATCTGACTCACTCGAACGAGCTGAAGCTCTTCTAGACTCTCTTCTAAATAGATTTGACGCCCCCCGCAATCTCTTGCATGGGAAGCCGGGCAGACGGTATCCACCCCGTAGAATGTGACGCTTTTAATGGAAGACGTGAGGACAAACACTCTTGGCACTAGTGATAAGCCCGCAGGCTTGGATAAGATAACAGTTCGACTGCTCAGAGCATGCTGGCCAGCCATTGGTCAGAAGGTAAAGAACATCTTTCAAACGTGTCTAGAGGACGAACATTTCCCCACCGCATCTCGTGTAGCAGAAGTCATCATGCTTCCAAAACCAGGACGGGACCTAGCAACAGCTAAAGGATAGCGGCCGATCTCCCTTCCCTCTTACCCGGGGAAAGGACTAGAACTAATAGTAGCGGATAGAATGGCGTGGCTAGCAAGTGTACATCATGTTGTTCCCCGACAACTTTTCGGTGCACTCGCGGGTCGCTCTACAGTAGACCTTGTCCCGTGTTATACACGATGCAGAGGCAGGAATGCGGAACAAAAAGGACACAGCAATGGTAACTCTAGACGTAGAGGGCGCATTTGATGCGATCTTCCACAAACGGCTATAACACCGGACGCGTAATCAGGTCTGACACAAGTCACTCTGCTAATGGGTTGAGCTTTTTTTGACCCGACGAAGGGTACAAGTTCACTACCAGGACAGACTGACCCGAGATAAAGTTGTGGAGTGTGAAGTCCCGCGAGGCTCACCGCTATCACCACTTCTATCCCTTCTATATATAGCTATTCAAGTAAAAATTACTGTGACGAAATATTATAGTAGTAAAATCTTAGGCCAGGCTAAAAAGGCTCTCCCAGAAGTATCAATTATGCTTACTAAGGTGCTGGGAAGAATAGGACAGGGCACAGGGCGCTTTCGTTTGGACACACTGTATTATTCTTCCTTGTTTTTCTATTTTTATAGTTCTTATGGCAAATAAAGCCATGCACGTAGGTAGTAGCGAGTCCACCTATATCACATACCCGTCTCACGCCTCATGAGTGTAGGGCAGATGCCTGATACGAATAGCATTTAAATCAAAATAATTCCGCAGTGGATCCTAAATCTTGGTTGCACAGAGCAATTCCAGAAGACAAAGTCAATTAAAATGCTTCTGAGAGGAAGGAACAGGTCAAACTATTTTTAAGACTGATGGAGATGGAGTGGTTGGTTTCCATGGAGGGCACTGTAGTGTAACTGCGCTTCCTGAAGGATAAATTGGTGTCAGATTGGGGCGAAGGCGTATGGGCTGAAGCGTGGTTTTGGCGGAGAAGAGGTTGTATGTACTGCGAGAGATGACTGAAGGTCTAGCTGAGATCACTTAGAGGAACTAAAGGTTTTAAAATATAGGTCTCGAGGAGTGGGTATGCTATTTGTCCACGGGGTACAAGTGTGAGTAAATAGGGGG